CGCTGGGGAGAGGGGGTATCAGGCTCCTCTCCCTGACACTCTCTCTGCTGGTGGAGAGGGGGACCAGCTGTCTCCCCTTTCATTATTTTGTCCTGTGGTTTGGGTGCGAGACTGACGGTCTCTGCTCCCTGCAGGACACTCTGCCGCTGGGGAGGAAGGACGGCGCCTTCAGCTCCCTGGGATACACACTGCCGCTGGGGAGGAAGGACGACACCTTTGGCTCCCTGGGATACACACTGCCGCTGGGGAGGAAGGACGACACCTTCAGCTCCCTGGGGTACACACTGCCGCTGGGGAGGAAGGACGACACCTTTGGCTCCCTGGGACTCACACTGCCGCTGGGGAGGAAGGACGGCACCTTCAGCTCCCTGGCGTACACACTGCCGCTGGGGAGGAAGGACTGCACCTTCAGCTCCCTGGGATACACACTGCCGCTGGGGAGGAAGGACGGCACCTTCTGCTCCCTGGGACTCACACTGCCGCTGGGGAGGAAGGACGGCACCTTCGGCTCCCTGGGACTCACACTGCCGCTGGGGAGGAAGGACAGCACCTTCAGCTCCCTGGGGTACACACTGCCGCTGGGGAGGAAGGACGGCACCTTCAGCTCCCTGGGATACCCACTGCCACTGGGGAGGAAGGACGGCATCTTCAGCTCCCTAGGGTACACAATGCAGCTGGGGAGGAAGGACGACACCTTCAGCTCCCTGGGACACACACGGCCGCTGGGGAGGAAGGACGACACCTTCAGCCCCCTGTAGCTCACACTGCCGCTGGGGAGGAAGGACGGCACCTTCAGCTCCCTGGGACACACACAGCCGCTGGGGAGGAAGGACAACACCTTCAGCTCCCTGGGACACACACTGCCGCTGGGGACCCTCGCAGGACCAGTCTAGGAGGTCCGCTACCTCGGGTACCGCTGGTTGCTGTTGGGAAAGAGGACCGGCTGTCTCTTCCCGGGTCTCATTGATGAGTCGCAGGTAATCCCACTCCAGGTTCCATTCATTGGTGACCAAATACTGTATGTCTGCCTCGAGGTCAATAGCGCTACGGAGCCCCAGCATGTCTTCTCGGTCGTAACACAGGTCCCAAAAACGAGAGTCAGTAGCTTTCCCAAAGTCCTCATCGTCAATATTGTCCCAAAATAGGCCAGGGCCAGCGTAACCTCCGCCTTCTGGGAACTCATACTCTGCCAACTCGGGGACACACTGAGCTGCGTACCACAGTATCGCCTGGTATGCGTCGTCGAGCGCCAGTTCTGCATATACTAAAATCTCGAGTCTAATCACCCATGCTTCTTCGGTCTTTTTCCTCAGGAGGGGCATCCGCTCTGCCATTCGAGCCAGGATTCGCTGCCTTCTGCTGTGGCGCCGATCCCCTCGCGAATACTGTACTTCCTCTAGGGCTTCATACCACAATTCAGCTCTGGCACTCTCTCTGTACCTCAACATGTCTTCCTCTGACACTGCTCCCAACCTCAGGGATACGTAACCGTACAATCTATCTTGCAACTTCTCCTCCATTTTCTGAGTTCCTTCGTAGATAGGGGCGCTGTACGGGTACTGGCGTTGCCCTCAAATTGTAACTCCAAATGAACTGTGTCTCTGAGCTGCTTTACCTCGCACTAGGACGCCATCCCACCGCTTGCCACCAATGTAACGGATCGCCTGGCACCCCGACTGGGTACCTCCGTTAAAGGATGCTCCTAGCGCTTCCTGAGGACTCCAAGCACTGCAGCAGACACCACAATCACTGAACCGGAGAAACAAATAAATTCTCCCAAGCATATGAATGCTGTAGACAGTTGAATAGGAACCATACGAATAGGTTTACTCTCCTAGCAGTCAAACTGGAACAGCATACAATAAATCCTTCCCCCAATAATGAGACGACACTTCACTTTGAGGGTTAAGCAGGAACTCCCTGTACTGTCACATACAGTCTCTTTTATTCCCAATCCACAAACATAGTACAGCCCACAGGGCGTTACAAAACAACCAATCAATCCGTACAATACACCCAGACACTCCCACACAAAATCCTCCCCTCTGCAGGTGATATGATTACTGAACACAATGGGTAATCTCATTATCACCGGCAGAGGAATACAGTTTTTACACAATATTTCTAACTTCTAAAATATACATGTCACAAACATAAAACATACATTTTCATAATCAATCCATTCAGGGGAACAACATATTAAAAAATGGCACGAATCAGACCAGGGGTTCAAAAGTTAAGGGAAAGTCCTTTGTGACTAAATGAAGCATGGCTTTCTGGCCCAAACCAGTTTCAGAGTCTTCTATCCTGGAGAGTAATTCAATTATCTCCCAGGACAGACACAAGACTCCATTAAGCACATGGTTGCAAAAAGACACAAAACACTTTAAAATACATAAAGTCACATTTACACATAACACACAGACATTTCACATATCCCCAGATAGCTGGGATCTGAGTACACATTATTAGATGAATGGCACTCAGATCACACAAATAAGCCTTTCTGCAGGGGAAATAAACGGTTTAACCTGCAGGGCCATAGTCCAAAGGGAGCAGGCGAGCAACCAGGCTTCTCCAGTTCACAGTGGCGAGGTTGGTTTCGCCACATCACTAGACCTCAGTAATAGGTGGTTCTGTAACAAATATAAATGTGATGAGTGTGTAACTTTTGAGACAGACTAAGTAAAGTAACAAGCTCTAGTTTAAATGAGCACATATCTGTGATGAAGGAAGCTCAGAAACAGACAATCAACGTACGAGTCTGTGCCTTCTGTATAGAGGAAAAAAAATAAAAATGATTACGGTGAAAGAGCGCAAGACCTCCGAGAGAGGTGACTCAGTATTACATAGGAAACGATGAGGAAATAAGTGTGAAGTGTGTATGGATGTGATAGTGTCCCATAGCAATAGAGTCATACTTACTAAGAAGTACATAAGTATCAAAACCTCCAATGCAATGAAAAAAGTAACCCAGTCACTTTGCAGACTATCTAGTGTACCACAGGGCTCCATGGCAAATGAAAACCCACAGTAATCTGCAGAGTGTATAAAGTGATAAGTGCCGTACACAAACTATTTAAACAACATTTGCCCAGCAACCTTCCTGCCAATTATTAATGAGCATATAATTAACTTTCGACCAATGTCAGCCCTAAACTTTATCAGTCTGAAACGAGACAACCAACAAGAACAGAAAGTAACCTGGACATCTTGGCTTTTAAAAAAAACAAACAAAAAAAACTTTTATCCTAAGTATCGTAAACTTAATATGCAACACTTCCCAGCATACCTTCCCACCAATATAGTGTACACGAACTATAGAATCAAAATATACCCAGTATGTGAACTGTCAGTATACCAGTAATATATCTTCTTGAAAATGACCAATAGCTGATGATGGAAGACATGTTGAAACCAGCTCACTGTGTTATATGCATTTCATTATTATTATTATTATTGATATAGCGCCAACAAATTCCGCAGCGCTTTACAATGGGTGGACGAACAGACATGTAGTTGTAACCAGACAAGTTGGACACACAGGAACAGAGGGGTTGAGGGCCCTGCTCAATGAGCTTACATGCTGGAGGGAGTGGGGTAAAGTGACATAAAAGGTAAGGATAGTATTAGACTAGTGACAGTTGCAAGAGAGGAATCAGTCGGAAGCTATTAACGTTTTTTTAACGTTTTAATGCTAAACAAGAGTCCCCAGCAATCTATTGTCTCTTTGCTGCTTTGACTAACGAGGAAGCGTTAGTGTGAAGACAAATCGGCAGCTGTTATTGGTTGAGAGTTTCAGCGAATTGCATTTAACCTCTCACAGCACCCCTGCTGGTATTTATCAGTAAGGCTACACGGACGTGTGTGATCTCTGCCTTACTCATTCCCGGAGTGGGGACAGGATTATGGGAAGCCAGGGTTACATTGCTCAAAAATTGTTTAACACTGAATGGAGACAGTGCAGGGGACTCTAGACACAATAACCAATTCAGTGAGATGAAATGATTATAGTAAAGTCTTTCACCAAGAGGTTAATTATAGACATTAATAAAACGTATCTCTAATAATATTGTATTTTTATGGGAGCTAAAGATAGAATTCTCAATTTATTTATTTTTTTAAATTCTTTTTTTGGTGGGTAAAAGAGAATAGCACAAAGGCATTTGCATACGTTATATCCATTATTCAGGCAAAATGGATAAATATGCAGTTTCCTGGACCCGATTTCCAACTAGGATAGGATAGATTAACAAGCATAATAAACAGGTGCTAAGACCCCTTGATTACAATCAACACAGTACAATGGCATCAGTAGAGGGTAAGTGTTTAAGAGGCAATGTAATGTTTCTACCTACACCAACTATAAGTAGGGCATAGCATGAGGAAAGTACTCCTAACCAAGGGACGGTCGGGGGGATAAAGATAAGGTCTGCAAAATATTGCTGATATGAGCCAATCGTGGTATTATAAGAGTCATAGGACTCGTTTTCCATATGGAGAAACAAGCTAATTTTACGGTTTAAGGTTACTCTTATTAATGTTTTTTACGGTTTAGTAATTTTTGGGATTTAAAATAAAAGGAAGCATAAAAAAAAAAAAAAATAATACAAAAATATTCCCCTCAATTTATTTTTATTGTACAACAGTTTGACACTTAACATATTTGTAACACACCCAGGTCTCGTTCCTCCTACTGCTTATTCATTTTTGCAGTAGCTGCTTTTTCTTTCGAACTCATAAACTTTTTCTTCTGTTCTAATATAAATATTCGCCGGTTGATCTGAGTTTTTTGTCTCTGTCTAAGATGGAAAAACAAAACAATGTTAGCATTCTTCGTTAAACATCTAGAAATGTCCGTATGTGTTAAAACTAGCGCTTTGTTAAGGGAATTATACGTCACATTCTCTGTACTCAATGTTCTCCAGATCACACAGTGATGGGGAAAGATCCCTGTCACAGGAATTGACACTTGTGTCTAAATAAACAGCTCACCACATCCTCTATGTTGTTAAAATCTGTCTATTCAGGTTATTGATTTGTACAGGATTGGTAAGTAATGGAATAGTATGAGACAATGAGAAATGTCTACATATCACAACGAATGCTGGAAATATTAGTATAGAATGGGCAATATATGTATATGGAAATGTATAAAGAAGATATTTAAAGGCAGATATTGTAAATATATAATAAAAATGTATTTTACCTGTAAGAATAAGATTGCTAAATAGAAATGAGTTCCTTCTGAGTCTCACCTTTCTCCCTAAAAGTCTTTGTTCCAGCATATTTTTCGCCACCGCACGGGGCTCATAAGACTTTAGCTTCAGATTGCCAAACGTGAAGTCCGTACTAAATAAGAACTAATGTGCCATTAGCATGGAAATGATTAAAGCAGATTTATAAAGAAATAATATTAAACACTGTAACGGTTAATAATACAGACTCTTTTCCATACAATGCCCCTAGGTGGAGGCTACCTCTGGTTATTAGAGATCTGGTGGCCAATATTATATCCCACCACCCCCTCTGGTTATTAGAGGCCAATTTCTATAACATACATAAAAACAAATAATGTATGCATTTACAATTCTGTAAAAGTTGCTCACCTATATCCTTACTGTTTTTCCTTGTCTGATATTCTTTGCACGAAGTCACGTTTCTTTGTCATCCATGAGTTGAGAGCAGGCATTTTTAAAATATTAGTTACCAGGCTTAGAGACACGGGTAAATACAAATGTGGATGAACAGTTACTCAGTTATTATTATGTTTTACTAATTGTGATGTCATCAGTGATGCAATCTACCTATGCTGGTTTTGATTGGTTACTGTGCAAATAGCAGAGATTCTGATGTCATCAGTGATGCAATCTACCTATGCTGGTTTTGATTGGTTACTGTGCAAATAGAAGAGATTATGATGTCATCAGTGATGCAATCTACCTATGCTGGTTTTGATTGGTTACTGTGAAAACAGCAGAGATTATGATGTCATCAGTGATACAATCTGTCTATGCTGGTTTTGGTTGTTACTGTGCACACAGTAGTAGTTCTCTGCATCTCCAGTAATGTACACTGATTAATTGTTTCCAGGCAGAAATTGAAGTGATTATTTACACTGACCAACCATAACAATAAAACCACCTGCTTAATATCATGTAGGTCCCCCCTTGGGCTGCCAAAACAAACTCTGGTGTATCGAGGTATGGATTCAGGGCTGGTGCTACCATTAGGAGAATACGGCATTCACCTGGGGCGCTGACCTGTTGGGGGCGCCCACCGAAAGGTTTACTGGTGGGTTGCTGCTCTGCTGGGTGAGCGGCTCCTTAGCCACCCCCATCACAGCCATTTATCTGCTGGGCTCCTTTCCTCACCTTCCAGGAAGAACACTCAGCATGCTGCAGGCAGGGGGAGCCTGAAAATGACTTGGTGTCCCAGCTGTCCCCTGCCTGTGAATTTAGTCAATAAACCTTTGAGAGAATGTACTTGCATTTATGAGGGGGTGGCAAAATGGATTGTTGCCTAGGGCAGCAAGAATCCTTGCAGCGGCCCTGTATGGACTCCAGAAGAGCTTTGAATGTGTCTTGTGGTATCTGGCACCAAGACATTAGCAGCAAGTCCTCCAAGTTGCAAGGCTCCTCCATGGAGCGGATTGGTTGATCTAGCACATTCCTCAGATGCTTAATCAGATTGAGATATGGGGCATTTGGAGGACAAGGCAACACTTTAAACCTTCTCATATTCCTCAAACCATTTCTGAACCATTATATGGTCTGTAACCATCTCTAAGTAGGTGGTACGTGTCAAAGTGACATCTACATGAATATCAGGACTCTGCTCATGACTCCATTTAAGGCACTTTTGGTGTAAACATGGTTCATCATGGGCACTCTGACCGGTCTGCGGCAGCGCAGCTGCATATGCAGCAAACTGCGATGCACTGTGTGTTTTGACACCTTTCTATCATGGCCAGCATCTGTGTGATCAGACAAGATGGGCTAGCCTGTGTGTGTTTTGTTCTGGACAATAAAATAAAATGCATTTTTCATATATTTACATGATATTATATTTTGCTTTTGTTTGTATACATCTATATAGGGGCTGTAGAGGGGGGTAGGGTCTGTAGGGGTTAGGGGCTGTAGGGGGTTAGGGGCTGTAGAGGGGGTAGGGGCTGTAGGGGTTAGGGGCTGTAGGGGGTTAGGGGCTGTAGGGGGTTAGGGGCTGTAGAGGGGTTAGGGGCTGTAGGGGTTAGGGGCTAGGGGCTGGGTTAGGGGCTGTAGGGTTAGGGGCTGTAGAGGGGGTAGGGGGCTGTAGGGGGTTAGGGGGGGGTAGGGGCTGTAGGGGTAGGGGCTGTAGGGGGTTAGGGGCTGTAGGGGGTTAGGGGCTGTAGGGGTAGGGTCTGTAGGGGGGTTAGGGGCTGTGGGGGGTAGGGTCTGTAGGGGGTTAGGGGCTGTAGGGGGTAGGGTCTGTAGAGGGGGGTAGGGGCTGTAGGGGGGGTAGGGGCTGTAGACGGAGAGCAGAGGCTGCAAAAAAGTGTATCCCCCCTTCCCTAAGTCTTACCTTGGTCCAGGGAGGGAGAAGCATTGTCCCTGGGGGTGAGGTGGGACAGGAACAGCCAACATAGGGAAGCAGGCAGGGAAGTCAGTCGGCCGGCCCCTCCTGATGATGTCAGGAGGAGGGGGCATTGTAAGTTTTTTATGTTTAAAAAAAATACTGTTGTCATTAGGAGGTTTGTTCAATAAAATTTGAATTGTGCTCTTAATAGTTGATAACCTGCGAATTATGCTGACTGTTATTTACATCAATTATTTAGGTAAATGAGAAAAATATAATTTGCATAATAATTTTGAACAGGGTGTACACGCTTCTAGGCAGGGCCAACATGTCCATAAGGTGGCACAGGCGGCCGCCTAGGGCGCTAGAGCAGGGGGGCGGATAGATGCGAATCGAATCCCCTATCTCTGGCTGGGAACTCAGATTTTTCAACCCACCTGACTCTCCCTGCCTGTGCATAACACTCAGAACGACAGGCAGATGCATATTAGGGACATTAACTTATGGCTTGGTGAATGGTGTCGGGAGCAAGGATTTGGCTTTATTTCTCATGGTAGCTCTGTTTGGAATGGAAATAAACTGTACAAAAAAGATGGTTTGCATCTTTCTCAAAAGGGAACAAATGTTCTCAGTAAGCAGTTCAGAGGTTTTGCTAAGATGTATTTAAACTAGGATGGGGGCAAAAGGGTGATAAAACATCAATCCAATTGCCCCCCAAAACAAGGACAGAAGGTGCCTGTAGCAAGTGTGTTAAAAAATGATAAGCTTGGAGTCATGATAAGCTTGCAGTTTAGGGAATAAGATCCATGAACTTGTGGCAATGATGGCAACCAACAATGTAGTTTTAGTCGCTGTTACTGAGACATGGTATAATGAGGAAAATGACTGGGACATAGCAATGGGTACTCGTTATATAGAAAAGAAAGGGAAAGCAAGAAAGGGGGAGGGGTGGCCCTGTATGTGAAGGATGGCATTAAATCTAGCCTAATAAAAGTTAGTGAGGCGAACATAGATTCCGTTTGGGTTACGTTAGAATTTGGTAATCACACAGTAACCTGTGTAGGTGTAATTTATAGGCCTCCAGGACAAATAGAAGAGTTAGACAATCTACTAAGTTATCATCATGGGTGACTTTAATCTTCCTGATGTGAATTGGAAAACCAAATTAGCTGCTTGTGCCAGGAGCACACATATTCTAAACTCCTTACTGGGATTGTCTCTAAAACAAGTCGTTGAGGAGCCAACTCGTAAGGAGGCCATACTAGATTTAGTGTTAACAAATGGAGATTTAGTATCAGATGTTACTGTAGGTGAAAATTTAGGATCCAGTGATCACCAGTCAGTGTGGTTTAATATAAGAACAGTGACTGAGTCACACCACACAAAAACAGATTTTTCTAAAATTAGAATATGTGTTAAAGAGTCATTATCAGACTGGAGCAATTTAAATGGAGTCCAAGAGAAATGGGATTATTTAAAAGTTGCACTATTGAAGGCAACAGAAAATTGCATTAGGCTTGTCAGTAAAAGTAAAAAATTCAAGAAACCACTGTGGTACTCCGCAGATGTGGCCAAAATAGTAAAAAAAACTAAAAGTTAGCATTTAGTAATCATAAAAAGTGTGAGGAAGACAGAATGATCTATAAGATTAGGCAGAAAGAGGCTTAGCAAGTTATAAGAGCTTCCAAATCACACACAGAAGAGAAAATAGCACAGTCAGTAAAAAAAGGGGACAAAAATTTTTTTAGATACATAAATGAGAAAAGGAAAGTAAAACAAGGATTAGTTAGATTAAAAACAAAAGAAGGAAGGTATGTAGAAGAGGATAAAGGTCTAGCTGACTGCCTCAATTAATATTTTTGTTCAGTATTTACAGATGAAAAGGAAGGAAAGGGGGCCTCAGTTAGGAAAACGGACAAATTATGTGAGTTTACAGAGGAAGAGGTTATAGTTCAACTGTCAAAAGTAAAGACAAATAAGTCAATGGGACCTGATGGGATACAACCAATGTTATTAAAAGAGCTGAGTGGTGTACTAGCAAAACCATTAACAGATTTATTTAACCAATCATTGTTAATAGGAGTAGAGCCAGACAATTGGAAGTTAGCGAATGTTGTGCCCATTCACAAAAAAAGGTAGTAGGGAGGAGTCGGGCAACTATAGGCCAGTAAGCCTTACTTCAGTAGTGGGGAAAGTAATGGAAACCATTTTAAAGGATAGGATTGTTGAGCATCTAAAAACACATGGATTTCAAGATCAGAGACAACATGGGTTTACTTCAGGGAGATCATGCCAAACTAATCTTATTGATTTTTTTTGATTGGGTAACTAAAATAATAGATCAGGGTGGTGCAGTAGACATTGCTGACCTAGATTTCAGTAAGGCTTTTGACACTGTTGCACATAGAAGGCTTATCAATAAACTGCAATCTTTAAGTTTGGATTCCAATATTGTTGAATGGGTAAGGCAGTGGCTGAGTGACAGGCAACAGAGGGTTGTAGTCAATGGAGTATATTCGAAACTTGGGCTTGTCATCAGTGGGGTACCTCAGGGATTTGTACTTGGACCCATTCTCTTTAATATTTTTATTAGTGATATTGCAGAAGGTCTTGGTGGTAAGGTATGTCTTTTTGCTGATGATACTAAGATATGTAACAGGGTTGATGTTCCAGGAGGGATAAGCCAAATGGCAAATGATTTAGGTAAACTAGAAAAATGGTCAGAATTGTGGCAACTGACATTTAATGTGGATAAGTGCAAGATAATGCATCTTGGGCGTAAAAACCCAAGGGCAGAGTACAGAATATTTGATAGAGTCCTAACCTCAACATATGAGGAAAGGGATTTAGGGGTGATTATTTCTGATGACTTAAAGGTAGGCAGACAATGTAATAGAGCAGCAGGAAATGCTAGCAGAATGCTTGGTTGTATAGGGAGAGGTATTAGCAGTAGAAAGAGGGAAGTGCTCATGCCATTGTACAGAACACGGGTGAGGCCTCACTTAGAGTATTGTATTCTATTGATACTTTAGAGAGAGTTCAGAGAAGGGCTACTAAACTGGTTCATGGATTGCAGGATAAAACTTACCAGGAAAGGTTAAAGGAACTTAACATGTATAGCTTGGAGGAAAGACGAGACAGGGGGGATATGATAGAAACATTTAAAAACACAGTAAAGAAGGAGACTATATTTAAAAGAAGAAAA